ATTGCGGCCCGTGCTAGGCATATTGAGTATGGTTATGTAATGTGTGTAATTGTGTGTGGTGTGATGTGGTGTGATGTGTTGTATTCTTTTGTTGACCGGACTGATCACTCCAGACACATGCGCGCTGTCAATCTTCCTGTCCTTTCCCGCTTTTCAGTCTTTCTCTTCACTTGGGCAGCAGATTTCAAAGGGGTTGGACATTATTCGAAATCCAAGTATACATCTCCAGCACCACATGCAGGGTAAGTTGCTGTGAACTATTTGTAAATGATTATTATTCATTAGTAATTACGATTGCTTACAAGTTCAGTCTTTTATATATTAACTCTTACTTCAGATGTCCAGTGGTTCGCATTATGTATTGTAAAGTAATTGTGTAGTGCGTTCGATAACGTTTTGTAAAAGTAGTTTTATGTGCTCGTATTGTATACCCGTGTTTCTGTCTTTTTAGGGATTTCTTTGTGCGGACAATACATTTGATCCCAATACCATTGAACCAGTCGTCGTTATTCAAAAAGAACCCTAATCTCACAACTGTATTTTTATTCCGTGAACAAATCAATGTAATTTTTTTAGTGTTACACATGTGTAATATAATCTACCGTGACGTCAGGTTAAGATAAAGAAATGACGTCACATATTGCGTATTGTGACGTAACGATGAAGAGCTGAAATGACTTCCACGTCAATTCGTTTCCATTTGATATGTTTTTATGAAACTCGTCACATTTTTTCAAGGTCGCCAAAACATTTTTTTTAATTTTAAAGACGTTTTTCCTACATTACATACCAAATGAAAACTCATGCAAGATCCCATATCCACACAACATAAAGTCGTTTTATTTCCACTACTGCAGATGAAATTCGGCCCCTTGGCGTAGTCATGGTGACAATAACTACGATCATTGGTTGAACCAGTTCTCCGGGTTACCACTCACGCGCTCAGCTGAGAGCACTCATGGGAGACTTATCCCTGTATCCGAGAAAGGTATAATGAATCCCAGAACTACAGATATATCAGACAACAGCGAGTATAGCCGTGTAGATTGTAAAAGCAACAGATGGTACTGACTAGTCACAAAATTGCTGATGTCTACCCCGAAACCGAGGAAGACGTGAAGATTTCGAAAATTCTTGTTTCCGTGTATTGTATCAACAGTCTGGCTCAAAACAGAATCCGGCCTCTTCATGCAGTATTAACCGACAACTACAGCCCCCATTGTAGATTCCAGGAAACAAATAGTTTCATTTAGAGTCTGTTCTCTCCTGGAGATTTATGTCTTAACAAGACTAAATACTGACCCAGATATTAACCTGTTTGAACATCTACAACAAAATACAATGTATTATCTTAATTTTTGTTTGCTTTCCCAGTGACCATTGCCTTGAGTATTCTAACTCTCTGAACAGGATCTCGCTTCCCGGTCAGTCAAGAACATCCGAGAAGTTTGTCTTCTTTACAGATCGCTCTGTTACACACTGCGTAGTTCTAAGTAGAGGGGACATCACGAAGCTCATAGAGGTCTTTTAGATCACCAATCATAGCGAAAATGCTTTAACCAAGTCACCTCCAACACCATTACCTCGGTCACCTTGTGACAAGTGCTAAAGGTCGGTTACTTATATTCTAAGTATGTAAGGGTGGCATTCCTGTGGTTAGGATGAAGAACACCGGATTTATGTTACGATATTGTGTAACTAATAAAGATTTATCTCCCTTGGCGACTCTGCTTACCACTCAGAATAAATGGATTCTTGTCTGGCATTTATGATAGCAAAATAGAAACGAAATGTTGACCATACCAGCGATGGTATAGTAGACAAGCTTTTAGATAACTGCGTCATCACGTTTCTAGATAAGGTGACACAACTATTGTATAACACTGATGTAGGAGTGACTTATACCCAGCGATGGTCTAATAGACAAACTTTTAGATAACTGCGTCATACATGTTTCTAGATAAGGTGACACAACTATTGTATAACACTGATTTAGGAGTGACCTATACCCAGCGATGGTCTAATAGACAAACTTTTAGATAACTGCGTCATCACATGTTCCTAGATAAGGTGACACAACTATTGTATAACACTGATTTAGGAGTGACCTATACCCAGCGATGGTCTAATAGACAAACTTTTAGATAACTGCGTCATCACATGTTTCTAGATAAGGTAAGTGACAACTATTGTATAACACTGATTTAGGAGTGACATATACCCAGCGATGGTCTAATAGACAAACTTTTAGATAACTGCGTCATCACATGTTCCTAGATAAGGTGACACAACTATTGTATAACACTGATGTAGGAGTGACTTATACCCAGCGATGGTCTAATAGACAAACTTTTAGATAACTGCGTCATCACATGTTCCTAGATAAGGTGACACAACTATTGTATAACACTGATTTAGCGATGGTGACAAACTTTTAGATAACTGCGTCATCACATGCTAGATAAGGTAAGTGACAACTATTGTATAACACTGATTTAGGAGTGACATATAACTTTTAGACAAACTTTTAGATAACTGCGTCATCACATGTTCCTAGATAAGGTGACAACTATTGTATAATATTGAAACTTTCAGAGTATCATCTAATATACACATGGATGATTATAGCGCATAATACGCAAATCTTTTTGCTTCGTTTCGGCAGAATAAAAATTTACATTTTTTTGTACAAATTCGTTGATCTAGTGTTTTGGTTTGCATTTTAATAAGATATTTCAGTGAAGGATGTGTCTAGTACATCACTTCTTGATTAGAAACATTCCTAACAACTAATATTTAACTTGTCCATAATGATGACGGATAAATAAAACACTGGAAACTTTTAAATGTCCTACATCCAAGCCTGCAGAACTCTGTAATTATCGCCACGTGTATCTACATAGTAATGACATGCCCCAAGGCCGTAAAAGACAAAAACAACGGTTATGTTTTAATTGTTTATTTTTATCTTGTGTCAAATAAATAATTCTTCCAATGTAAGAACACATTATAGAAAACGTTACTCCACAAAATAAGGACATTTTTTTACATCTTGACATGCACCTTTAAGACCTGATCTTGTTAAGGATAAATCCGTCTTGGTTACAGTATATTAGTTTTCTGTGATATTTCTACTGATGTTATAGTAACCATAGCTGCCCAGTGTACTACCATCTCAATCCAATGACATCTATTTATATCTAGATAACTATTAACTGATCGCTTACTTTCACAGTTTGTTCAGAAGAAACAATAATTTTCTCTAAATGCAAATTACTCCATAATCAGTGTTCCTCGATGTTTTGATTGTACTATCGAGTTCCCATAGGTACGTACCATTGTCTCCATTAGCTACTTAAAATGGCCGTTACGGGGATATGATGCATTCTCCCTTCTCCCACCCCTATTTTGCGAAATCTGAAATATTTTTCACTATATACATGTATAACCTTAGATCAAATAAACCGATAAGTTATTTTGAGGACAAGTGGTGCGTTATTAAACTTTTTTATCTTTGGTTTACAATGCCGTCTAAACAAATATTGAACCTGTTTTGTGTAACTGGGACGGAGCTACCGGCCAAACAACATTCAACAGAAACCCACATCAATTGTTGTAAAGTCTTTGTTATATACATTTATCAAAACTAAATTCGTTTTCAACACAATACATTCGTACTTGGTAATGCACTGTAGGTTAGCCCTGGGAGATCGACATTTTGGGATATGTGGTTTATCTAAACATGATTTTGATAAAATACTAATTGGGCAAGATGTCGGAACTTACATTATGTAATGGATGGATACCTGAAAATGATGAGAACGTGTTAATTCACTCACAAGCAATATACATGTGTTGTCTAGCAGGCACTCGGTTTTTGTTGGATTCATAACTCCTATTTCTGACAAATACGTACTGAGTCAAAAACACAGCCCCTGTACTTGTCAGGTGTGATATGATTGTTGGATTCTGGACGGTGTAGGGAAACCACGTGACGTGATGACGGTATCCATAACAGAAATATAACTCCACTAGATTAAATCTGTATACCACCGAATATCCACTTCTGGTCATTTAGTCCAATAGGCACCACATCTGTCTGCATTAATGCCATCACTTTTACTTAAACAAGACATGTTCCGCCCAGAACACTTCTGTTGTATCACGTAACACTCAACAAGGCGTGTTCCGCCCAGAACACTTCTGTTGTATCACGTAACACTAAACAAGGCATGTTCCGCCCGGAACACTTCTGTTGTATCACGTAATACTAAACAAGACATGTTCCGCCCAGAACACTTCTGTTGTATCACGTAACACTAAACAAGGCGTGTTCCGCCCCGAACACTTCTGTTGTATCACGTAATACTAAACAAGGCGTGTTCCGCCCAGAACACTTCTGTTGTATCGCGTAATACTAAACAAGGCGTGTTCCGCCCAGAACACTTCTGTTGTATCGCGTAATACTAAACAAGACATGTTCCGCCCAGAACACTTCTGTTGTATCGCGTAACACTAAACAAGGCGTGTTCCGCTCAGAACACTTCTGTTGTATCACGTAACACTAAACAAGGCGTGTTCCGCCCAGAACACTTCTGTTGTGTCACGTGACACTAAACAAGGCGTGTTCCGCCCAGAACACTTCTGTTGTGTTACGTGACACTAAACAAGGCGTGTTCCGCCCAGAACACTTCTGTTGTATCAGGTTTCAGTTCTGTAAGTGTATCTTTTACCAGACATCACACAACACTGAGAAATCTATTACACATATTACAAACAGCGACATCCTCAAAGCTCTATATATCAGACAAATATTTGTGGACTAGATTAGGTGATGTTCCACGCAAACTTCGGACACAAACTATAACGTAAAAGTCGCGCAATTTGTGTTCATGGTCTGCAAGCAACGCTAGCCAAGATGACATATTAACAGGTTCGCGAATCTATCATCATCCGCACTAACTTCGCGAATTAATCATCCTCCGCACCTACTCTGAGAATTAATCATCCTCCGCACTAACAATCTTGCTGAGTTTTTCCTTCCCCCGCCACTGAAGTTTTTCCGTCTCTATTGGATCAAAGTATGAATATGTGTCATCATAGTCTATGAAGTCGTCGTACTCCATCTCCAAGTTGCCGTCAGATGGCGTCGTGGCGCTACGAGATGGAGACAAGGTCAGTCTACTTCGAGAACTTCGACAACTCTTTGGAGTGGAAGATTTAGAACATATTTCTCGTGGAGTTTTCGGACTTTGACCGTCCGGTTTCGGTAAATCATTATGCCTATCCATAGGGGCCACTATTTTTTGAGAGGTATTACTTCCGGTGCTTTTCTTGTCAGAACCGTTAAGAGGTGGAAGAGCATTCATACTATAACTCTCCGTCAATGAGGTGGGTCGCCGAGGTTTTTCTTTTGAGCTGTCGGGATTTCTTCTCATAAAATCTGGTTTGTTTATAAAGGACGTCGTTTGCTCTTTGCACAGATTTTCCGGACTCTGTGAGTCGTCAGATGTTCCCGACCCGGGTTTTCGGACTTCCTCTGGCTTAGGTTTATCCAAGAACTCGAGCTGAGTAAACTGAGGACTCTCTCGCTGGACGGGATGTACCTCGGCACATAGCACTTTGGTAGTAGGAGTTGCGGAGCCTGTGGACAAAGGAGTTGCAGTTAGACTGTCCATCCCCCGAGTTCTTTCCATGAACCCGTTAGTGGGAGTTTTATCCTGACTCTGCTCACTGTCAAAACGTTTTCGCTTCAACATTTCATGTTTTGTCAATGGCGGAGATAACGGACTTTTCACGTCTCTGTTGTTTTTAAATTTAGATGAAGGATGTACTTTAGGTGATTTTGGCCGACGGCCTAATATAGGACTAGTATTGAAAAGACTGTTTTTCTCGTCTCCTTCCTCGTTCTTTGCTGCCTGTATCAGAGGACTAGGGAGAGGTGAATAATGCTTAGATGGGGGTTTAGGACTTCCTCCCGTCGAATCGTGATCGGATTTACTCCTCAGACGCTTCCTGTTACTGTTACCACGACCGTTGCTACGTATGCTGGATATGGATGATGCCCTTGATTTCTGTTTACTTTGTCCCGTAAGAGGGCGCTCCATGTCATAGTCTATTTCAATGCCACTTAAAGCACTGTGATGACTCGGCGTACTGTGCATGCTGGTACTTTTTGCCATGTGGTTGGGGCTTTCCATCGTTCCAGCAATAGAATATTTGTGTTCCCTCTTACGGACACACTTATGATGGAAGGCAACAACCACAGCCACCATAACGATAACAGCACACAGGCAAATCCCAACGATGGTTACAGTACTTTTCCATATGCTGCCCTCTGACGGCAAAGTCTGGAGCGGGACGGCTGTCAGCACAGTACTGAAGTTTCGAGCTGGTAAAAAGTAAGAAAGCAACAATATTTAAACAAAATTGTCTAATTATTGCGTGCAACTTCAAATCATGTTTTTTTACCGGATTAAATATATATCCTTCCTTAAGGATTCAGGGCTCGAATACAAATTAAACAAGTTGTAATTGTACCAGGAACAGTTACACATGTCTACTAATCTCCTATCTCTTATGTCTTCAAATAGTTACCACAATAGTTGCCTCTGTTGTGGAGCCATTTTGTCCAATCAGAAGACGGACAATTTCCCTTTCCACTAGACTACGTTTATTGATAAAATTTTCAAAGCGAGACTAAAGCTGTGAGAAGAAAAACTACGTGTGCTTATCAAATAAATACGTATGCGGTGTACTTTATATCAAAATTAAACCCGTGGCATTTAATATTGAATAATACTTATCATTTTATATTCAATGCGTAATGTATATTTCATCAGCCCCTTTCATTTCGTGAAACTTCTTAGTATAAAAGTAATAAAACGATCGCACTTATTCTTATTGTGGTCAACTTATATAAATCATCCCACATTTATAAATGTAAGCCGTGACAACTTTAAAAATCACGATTAGTACACTATGGACATTTTGGTGTCAGTTATGAAGTGGCGCCACCTGTCTGGTCACGTGGGTTTTCTCTGAGTATCCCCCACCCACGAGCTACTTCCTTCACGCGCTTCAATCTTGACCAACAAGAACAACTTAATTCTTTTACTATAGCTAGTTATGTAACTGCTGAAAAATATGTAATTTTAAATTGTAAATTCAAATAAAATTTAATGGAATTACATTTAATGACGCTGCGTAAATAAACACCAATAAAGATAGGTAAACAGGTTGATGACTCAGTTTACTATAACATTCACTGACCCGTGTTAAATACCACGATCGATATGACGGCAAAGAAATGCACGTTACGTGGTTAAACTTTTTTTGTATCCACGTACAAACTCACTGTTAGTATGTTGTCGTCTGACAAGGGTAGACAGGACCAGTCGATATTGACTGTTTGATCGTAAGCTACGCTAATCCTACCAAACAAGGACTTCCTTTGATTCGCTTTTACATTACGTTATAAGAAACACGGTAGTATCAATGTACATTTTACTGGGAGTGGAAATTCCGAGTAATGATCGTGACAAATCTTTGTAAAATTGGCGGAATTTTAAAATAAAATCCTAGAGTAACAGTATATTTGAAATGCTTTTTTATTGAATGAAAGGTTGAATAATAAAAAAATTGATATGGGCAGTGTTACAGGGTCACATAGGTTTATAATTCTGTACAGTGGTAATGGTTTATTGTTGTGTGTAGTTTTGTGGTAATGGTTTATTATTGTGTATAGTTTTGTGGTACTGGTTTATCATTGTGTATAGTTTTGTGGTACTGGTTTATCATTGTGTATAGTTTTGTGGTAATGGTTTATCATTGTGTGTAGTTTTGTGGTAATGGTTTATTATTGTGTGTAGTTTTGTGCTACTGGTTTATCATTGTGTATAGTTTTGTGGTAATGATTTATTATTGTGTATAGTTTTGTGGTAATGGTGTAGTTTTGTGGTAATGGTGTAGTTTTGTGGTAATGGTATAGTTTTGTGGTACTGGTTTATTATTGTGTATAGTTTGTGGTACTGGTTGATTATTTTGTACAGTTTTGTGGTACTGCTTTATCATTGTGTGTAGTTTTATGGTAATGGTTTACTATTGTGTATAATTTTGTGGTAATGGTTTGTTATTGTGTACAGTTTTGTGGTACTGGTTTGTTATTGTGTACAGTTTTGTGGTAATGGTTTATCATTGTGTATAGTTTTGTGGTAATGGTGTAGTTTTGTGGTACTGGTTTATTATTGTGTACAGTTTTGTGGTACTGGTTTATTATTGTGTATAGTTTTGTGGTAATGGTTTATTATTGTGTATAGTTTTGTGGTACTGGTTTATTATTGTGTATAGTTTTGTGGTACTGGTTTATTATTGTGTGTAGTTTTGTGGTACTGGTTTATTATTGTGTACAGTTTTGTGGTACTGGTTTATTATTGTGTACAGTTTTGTGGTAATGGTTTATTATTGTGTATAGTTTTGTGGTAATGGTTTATTATTGTGTACAGTTTTGTGGTAATGGTTTATTATTGTGTACAGTTTTGTGGTACTGGTTTATTATTTTGTACAGTTTTGTGGTACTGGTTTGTTATTGTGTACAGTTTTGTGGTACTGGTTTGTTATTGTGTACAGTTTTGTGGTACTGGTTTATTATTGTGTACAGTTTTGTGGTAATGGTTTATTATTGTGTACAGTTTTGTGGTACTGGTTTATTATTGTGTGTAGTTTTGTGGTACTGGTTTATTATTGTGTGTAGTTTTGTGGTACTGGTTTATTATTGTGTACAGTTTTGTGGTACTGGTTTATTATTGTGTGTAGTTTTGTGGTAATGGTTTATTATTGTGTGTAGTTTTGTGGTAATGGTTTATTATTGTGTGTAGTTTTGTGGTAATGGTTTATTATTGTGTATAGTTTTGTGGTAATGGTTTATTATTGTGTATAGTTTTGTGGTAATGGTTTATTATTGTGTGTAGTTTTGTGGTAATGGTTTATTATTGTGTATAGTTTTGTGGTACTGGTTTATTATTGTGTATAGTTTTGTGGTACTGGTTTATTATTGTGTATAGTTTTGTGGTACTGGTTTATTATTGTGTATAGTTTTGTGGTAATGGTCTATTATTGTGTACAGTTTTGTGGTACTGGTATATTATTGTGTATAGTTTGTCACTCGTGGCTTCCATATGTTCTTGATGTATGATTAAGATAAGTTTGTGATGTATGGTGCCTATGTCTTCCATAGTTTTGTTATGTATAGTGCCTATAGATATGCGACGTGTTGCACCCTTTATTTTGTGGCGTGGGGTTCCCATTGTTTTGAGGTCAATCATTCTCAGTTTTGTGATGTATGGCCCTCATGGTGTGTGACGTATGGTTCCCATGGTTTTGTGATGCATGGCTCCAATAATTTGGTAACGTATGACTCTCATAGTTTTATGATGTATGTGTCCTATATTTCCACGATATGCTCCAATGTTCTGTGCTGTCTGGTTCGCATTGATTTGGAAGTGTTACAGCGAAAACTCCCAGTGTTGCTGTCGACGGGTTCTGATGCACTATGTTTTATCTAATGTTTTGAGGTCTGGAGGGCACGACAAGGAGTTTGTGATCAGATATGACAGTGAGGTCTGGGGGCACGACAAGGAGTTGGTGATCAGATATGACAGTGAGGTCTGGGGGCACGACAAGGAGTTGGTGATCATATATGACAGTGAGGTCTGGGGGCACGACAAGGAGTTGGTGATCAGATATGACAGTGAGGTCTGGGGGCACGACAAGGAGTTGGTGATCAGATATGACAGTGAGGTCTGGGGGCTCGACAAGGAGTTGGTGATCAGATATGACAGTGAGGTCTGGGGGCACGACAAGGAGTTGGTGATCAGATATGACAGTGAGGTCTGGGGGCACGACAAGGAGTTGGTGATCAGATATGACAGTGAGGTCTGGGGGGCACGACAAGGAGTTGGTGATCAGATATGACGGAGGTTGAGAGCTTGAATTGCATGTATACTTTTTGTGACCAGCCTTGATATATTGTAGGTCGCCAAGAGTTGTAACACCGAACTGTTCACTGTGATGTGCGTTTACAAATAGCTCATTCATAAGTTACAATGTGTAATACGGGGATCGGTCTCGGATGCACAGAACGCAAATTATCGAACTGAAAGAATGTTTCATTACGTACAAATTTGCTGGCATGTACTGTACAGTTGTCCCCCGATATACCGTCCCCATTATATCGCTAACCCTGCATATCGTCATGATTTTCTTCAGAACGTTTTTCTATACTAAATGTATTGTATAGCCCCCTTAATACCGCCACTCTTGTAAAACGCCACTCATACCTGCTATTTAAAGATATACTACCAGCAATGTAGCCACGATAGATAATTTTGACAATACAAGTATTTAGTACAGCGCTACTAGTGTTTTGAATCTCGAGCCAAGACAAAATTTGTCGAATATATATTTTGAAATATGTTACAGTTTACAAACTTACGTATGGAACTGAAGTTGGCAATAAAGCCATGCACGTGAATTTTCCGGGTAGGAACACGCTGGAACAGCCTGGTAGATGATGCGGACGATGAATTTGTCTTGGATGATGAATGATAGACGTCTGATGCATTGGGGTTAATATCAGTCTTGCTCATAAATTCAATCAACATTTTATTAGATGATGACGTCACTTCCGTCACAATGATACCTCCGAAGCTGACTGCCAATAGATTTGCGTCCACACTATCACCATCTCTTATCTTAATCCATTGTCTATCCTCGTATAACTTGAAATACTGAAAACTAAGTTTGATGTTCTGGTCATCTTCTACTGTCAGTAGCCATAACGACAATCCGTCACATCGTCCGGTCCCGATTATCTCCCCTCGTTGTTTCTTGATTTCGCAGCCGCATGCGCACTCCTGATTATACGTCGGGGAGTGTAATGGTGTATGAGGTATGGCATCTGAAAATGAAACAAAAAAATAGATATTGCGGGTACTGTTTATCTACCTTGGGATACATTTGAATATATACAAGTGACAATTTAATATATGTAACGATTGATACAATTGGATGCCGACAGATGCATTCCCCACTTGGAAGATAAAGGTATACGTATACGCATGTGTCAGAATTCCTCAATATCTCAATATCATGCTGCTACAAACGGACATTAATAGGATATTCGTGTATTTCAAGAATTCAATAATCGCTAATGCGCATGTCTAGTAATTACGTCAATTTGTTGTTCTCCTTTTTTTCAACGCCGCGAGACTGATTGGTCATTATTACCGAGACGACTCACGAGAATCAATGTCCCGGATGTAATGAACATGGTCGTGCGAGCAAATTCGCGGGTGTAATGAGTCGACATGGACGACAGGCGGCCATTACGATATTACCAGGCCACGTACATGTTTGGTGGTAATGAACGAGTCGACTTCATCCCCCAAACCTCACAAACCAATGTAGTTTTCACACGCAATCATTTATACATCCATGCAGATCGATATAACACCACATCAGATTGGAGCTAAAAGTCGGGGATAAGACGATTACACAACCAGTGTTGGAGAGAGATCGAGGTATAGGTCAGCTCCATTAACAGTTCTCAAGGTAATGTAGGGACGACACATCTATTAGGATTACATGTCAATGTTTATTACACTCCCTGGTGGAAGGACCACTAATGTCCCTGTATTCGATGATTTCCCACATCATATTTTGTCGTCTTTGTTCAGTACATATTAAAGACGTTTATCAAAAATTAATCTGATTTACACATAGGTCCGTCCGCCGTGTAAAACTCTAAAAGTATTTAGAGAGTTTCAGAGCAAAGATATGAAATTCTGACAGTAAATAATCATAAGCCATTTTGCAAATGGAAGAAAAATAATACAACGTCACGAATACAAATTTACAGTGAACGGTCATTTTATTTTTATCTTCTTTGAAATTTGTCAATATTTTTCTGACTGCATCTTTTTATAGTTACATGTACATTACATTAGGATCTGACAATAACTAAAACCTTATCACAGCGGTCTCCATAGATATGGAACCGCAAGAGAATCCGATCATCTGTCTGTAGGCCATTGCTTGTAACTACCGTTATAGTGAAATATTCCAACTCGCATAGGGTGATACAGTTCCATAAATTAAAATGAAAAAGAATTGAACATTTCGGCGGGCCAGTACTAAACAGGGATGAAGGGGACCACAGACTCTCGCGCATCTATGACAAAGTGTTAAACAAAGTGTAGCCGAATAGGATTACAGTACAACCGAAAACGTTTGTCGATTTCTTTTTTATCTCGCACACTACGAATGTCGGTGAAAGTACGCTCCATACTGGTTAAAAATTAAGGTGACTGTGTAGTCATCGATAGGCACACTCAAACCTACTGGTTGTATTATAATAACTTTAATTCTATAAGAATTGAACAGAAAATGCAACAAAAAAAGTCAAACGGAAGGAAAGGACAAAAGTTGAGGTAGTATATTTACGACATTAAGAGAACATCTCTGATTTGGGTGCACGTCGCTCTTTATGCATCTCAAAGGATCATTCATACATGTTATTGAAATAGGTTAAAATGGAGAGCAAGTCATTTATATACAATGACATCTTAACATGTCGCTTTTCATGTCTTGCTTCATCTACTCCGTGGACAATCTCTTCCAGATTGCACTGCTGTATAACCTCCGCGTTTACCAGTTGTAATGAACAACACTGGTATAGAGATTGTCCTGTGGACTGTATCCAGCTACCCTGTAGGTGTGTAATACTATACATCAGCAGCGAGTCTCGTCAGTAAGAGACATTAATTATCCCTGCCCTCTTGAGCTCGTTCGATGACGACAATGTCTTTCCTGTTCGCCGAGCACGAAAACACCACCATTTAATTGCTTTCATGTTATTATTACTCTCCACAATTATACACAAAGCGTCCAGTTTGTCATTTTTTTTTCCAGTTTTAAAAATCGAAGAATATCCGATTTCTGTGATAAAATTGTGTGTCATATCTTCCTTTGATCATGATTGTATCACCGACGATCTCAAACGGTATCGTGTTAGCGTTTAGTGGAGTATTAGTACAAACCAGAGGTATTATAGAAACGCGTTACATCTTTACACTATAGAAATTACCATGGAGTCTCAAGTTATACGATAGCTTTATGTCCGTCTAATTAAAATCTTATCTTTTCAGACAAAATTGGATTTAAATTAAGGTTTTCAAAAACATATACCATTTTGGCACATCTTCAACTTGCTTTTATGAAGCAGAATGGTTTTGTGGTGTGGCCTGACGAAGGTCAAAGGTTAATCAGATGAGACGCGTAATAAAAGATTTTCAAAAGCACGATCATTTGTAATAAGATAAGATCGTGTTGGGTTATACTACTTCATTATGTAATGTAATATTAACAACTAACGAGACACGCTTTCGTTGAAATGTTCAATATATAAACATCGATAGCTATTCAAAGTGCATCTGCTAGAAATTAAAACGAGGCTTAAGGTGACTAGATGGTTCATCACTGTGACAGACCTCTAGCTGAGTCAGTGACAAGTGACTAGATGGTTCACCAATGTGACATACCTCTAGCTGAGTGAGTAATATGTGACTAGATGGTTCACCACTGTGACATACCTCTAGCTGAGTGAGAAACAAGTGACTAGATGGTACACCACTGTGACATACCTCTAGCAGAGTCAGTGACAAGTGACTAGATGGTTCACCACTGTGACATACCTTTAGCTGAGTCAGTGAAAAGATGGTTCACCACTGTGGCATACCTCTAGCCGAGTCAGTGACAAGTGACTAGATGGTTCACCACTGTGACATACCTTTAGCTGAGTCAGTGACAAGTGACTAGATGGTTTACCACTGTGACATACCTTTAGCGGAGTCAGTGACAAGTGACTAGATGGTTCACCACTGTGACATACCTTTAGTTGAGTCAGTGACAAGTGACTAGATGGTTCACCACTGTGACATAACTTTTGCTGAGTCAGTGACAAGTGACTAGATGGTTCACCACTGTGACATACCTCTAGCTGAGTGTTCAATGATATGACGTTTCGTTCATTACTTAGAGTTAGTATATGTTAGTAGTTTTTTCACCACCAAGAAGTAAGTATCTGTTTTAGTAATTCTTTTTACCACCAAGAGGTCTGTTATAAGACCTCACAAAGATCTAGTATTGATAAAGATGTTGTATAATATGACGTATAAACACATATCTCGTCCCCCAATCATTAATTAAACTATTATAATTGATCATCCACTCAACAGCTACAATCATTTAGGATAAAATCCAGTGTAGTTTTAAAGTTCCATAGAAATTCCTTAGAGCTTGTGAACCGAGGCGCCCCCTTAACACCTCGGCGGTCCTGATTTTGATCGCGTCACAAAAGCCGACCATATTAAGTATCGACACGTGAGCTGAATTTGTGACACTCGTGGGTATTACGTCACTGATACGGATGAACCCATTGATCAATGTTGCATCTTAAAACCAGTGTTTATCAGCAGTTAGTTCGATTTTGTGCCATGTCGGAACGATTTGTTGAATTTGGTCGGCGCTATCAGTGCCAAATCAAATGTAAGGGCGTGTTTCAAGTTCCACACATCCACGATCGTAATCAAACGAACGGGTGCATGGACAAAATCGCAATCTTTAACTTCTCTTTATATCTACAGATTCCATTTAATAGATGAAAGTTCTTGTAACATTAAATGCAGAATGCATTCTGGGTAAATCAGAAGGCACAAAATACATTCAGTATATTGTCGAAACCAGCAAATTGTTCCACGAATGAATTAAAGCAATGCAACACATAAAATGCTTCTCCAGCGATCGTAAATCCGAACAGGAGGAGATTAAGCTGTCAATACTACATTTTCGTTATCAAGAACAGTCCGCCATCTTTGATTTCAGCACACTTTGAAGCGGAAGCGGATGGCTGATTTTATAGGAGACCGACTGTAAAACGAAAATTCCTATCTGGAGTTTTGGTATTCGATGCATTATCAGATACTTGGCTTATAATATATGTTTTTAAACCAGTGTTTAGATCTCTATTGAAGGTGTTTTTGTATGATTGAATCACAGGCGCCTTGGTGGAGGGATTCACCCTGAATATATAGACAGCTACAACGGTGTACAAAAACATGCTTTGATCATAGCTTTGTAACAATGATAACGTTAAAATACTGACACTCAGAATATTTCAAATTAAACAATTTCATACAAATATCAGCGTACTAAATTCGAGAATTTCAGGTCGATTACAGCACTATAATTCCTTGCTGTTTACATCCAGTTGTTGATGGGGAATAAAACATATACATTTTATTTCATTCGTATTCATTAACAATTTCTCTGGTCGTGTGCGATTAACTTTCACAATATAGATACATATGTATTGTGAGACTAGGGTCATCCTTTTCTTACAATCTCCATTGCCTTTCTCACACTATTGTTAAATGGAACTTCTACAACGATCGTACTTTCTGGACTTTCCTGTGTAATATGAAGTATTCTAGATTCAGGAAAACATTCAGGGTACACTTCCTACTTGTCCAAAATAGTACCTTCTTGTTGGTGAATTAAGAACTCAGTTTTAAACCTGATTCTGTCATTATGATGATGCTTACTTAACAGAACCTCTATTGGGGATCGAACTCATGGCCTCTAGTTTTACAAGCCTCGAGAAATATCCAGCTGAGTGGTATATTGCGACTAGTGTTTGCCAGGGCAGCAAATTATTTCCCTCAATAATTCCTCAAAGCAAATAAAATATCTAAATATATGACAAGGTTGAAGGAATGCCAATATCCCAAGGTCTGAAACGGTATGCATTACGTCTGTATAGAAACGGCTTCAATGCCAAATACAGAATTCAGGTCTACACAAGACAGGCAAAGCAAGCATAATTCAATGAAGTTTGTGTGAACCTTTTTTCTTCTGCTTGTCATAGACTCTGTGTATAAATACTAATAACTGTTTACTAACCAGGACACAGAGAGAAGCAGGGTTCGAACTGGACGGGAAAGTCATCACAGAACTGCCCTCCGTAAGCCGGGGCAGGATTGCTACACGACCGGTACCGGCTTCGTTTCCCCATGTCACACGTCACCGAACACGTGCTCCAGGCACCCCACTCGCTCCAACCGCCATCTGTCGGCAGAACTGTGAACAAATTACGATAAACTGTCAGATTTTGTAGAAATACTGCTGTGTTTTTCGTGCTCGTCTCAATTACTCCATGTCGGCGTTTAAACTCTAAATATTTTTTGAATAAATTTCAATACTGTGATGCAAGAGAATTTAAAAACATGGGAGACTAGAAAAGGATGGAAGGAGAGCAGAATCGAAATTAATACAACAACAGCATGAATAGTTTTCATTTTTCTAAATACAAAATATGAAAACTGACAATGGACATGTAAACATTGTATAACAATATAAACGAAACTGAATCACCATTTGTCATGCTATTCAATTTGTAACTTTTCATTTCACGGTAATTGACTTTACACTTCTTTTTTTCTTGAAAAAACCCGTGATATCTAAACGAGAAGAACACAACAGGGAGCATACGAATTGTATGTTAATCAATGGTATTGTATATTCTGTTTTACTGTCAGGCGTGTAAGATCAGATGATGTTATCAACTGTTTTAGCTGAAATTACACATCAGTGTAATGAACAACACGACATGTATATTTTGTTTAGTTGTTTTGATGGCTTTTCACAGAATGGATAAAATATCCCGAAATATTCACAGAGATTGTAGAAAATTTAATTCATATTACAATATAGAACACTAAAAGCACAATAAAAAAATACAACCTTGATCAGACATCAAGTACTTTGTCAAAAATAATAAAATCTATCGGAATGAACAAAACGTAAAAAGAAATCATGTCGCATTCAAAACAAACATAAAACAACCAATTTTGGTTTCCAGAAACAACAAAACAACATGCAACATATCAAGTGTACGAACTAAACCTAAAGAACAAAATTTGAAAGGCAACATAACCGGAAGTACGACACCGGAAGTGCACGATTTACTTACGTCAACCATAAGATTCCAATGAAATTCCAGAAAGAATGCGGAAATGTAAATATGAGAAATGTCTTAGCATCGTTTTACATAATAAGTACTGACCATACATCTGGTATCATAAATAGGTCTCGTATTTTCCCAAACAAACGATAGAAATATCCTTCAAATTTACAACCTCGGTAGATTCGGATTATGTATCGGTGTTATATTTGATACACAATTTTCCTATAACGTATATTGTGAGTTTCCTTTTTCTTAACAAAATTAATTACCAAACTTTAATGATCGTGGCTTTTCATTCGCGATTCCCTAATTGAAAACTGTTATTAATGACACAGTCTGTCGGGTTTCAGGCCAAATCGTTGTATGTGCCAGCCTTATATAGCTTGTTCCTTAATATGTCATGTCAATTTTACGACACCACGTCCACTTTACGGCATTTCACCAATAACGAATTGGTGCACGCAGATAGAATTGTACTGGTAAATCTAATCTAGTTGTTAATTTATAAAATAAAAGTATTTAAAACTGACTTACCCATCCTCACCATTTCGGCTTTGATTAATGAGGGACATGAAAACCTTTACAGTTAACAAACCAATATCGTAAGACTCGCACTTTAAGTACGGGGACACATAAACCTTAATACACAATTTCACTTCTACTATCGATAAAGTCCCTCAGTAAACAGAACAGCGGTAGTTGCCATAGTTTGTCTGTTTATCATTATGTCAGTTCAACTGCTAGGCCAGAGTTTCACAAACATTCCTTAACCTTTAGGAGCACTTAAACCGAATTTTCCCTTGAATATAAAGACTATCCTTTAAGGGATATCCGTCTTTGATTTAAGGAATTTCTTGCATATTAAAGACCATTTCTTCCTAGCCTTAAATCGTTACGGGAGTCCGTAATTAGTCAAGAAGCGTTCATGCAACGCAGATTTAAGGAAAGCTTAGGTAAGGCATTCCCAAGGGATTTTTAAGTTTAAAAACATGGAAGTTAAAGAGTTCGTGATACCGGGACAGGAACTTTTAAAACTGATAACCGCCCCTGTAGTGTAAACCATTCCACTTATAGTTTTAAAAGGACATTTATAATGATTAAAAATGAACACGTAATATCTATATGTTAGCTATATCTTTTGTCGTTATTTTTCTATTGCATCTCAAATCCTATACAAGACCGTGTACGTCACGTTCTAAAACACCGGGCCAAAATGGCTTAAACACACAGGACACTTCTTGCTTTCAGCAATGAAAAGCTTGATAGCTTTAACCGTTGTATTTGAATTAACCAACAATAGGACGTTCCCACTTCCATACAAAACTGTTGATTTGTCTGTCTCGTATGTCAGTCTTGCCAGTATATATAGACGGTGTGGATTACACCTGTATTGGAAGTACAGGTAAATAACACACTCGGAGTAGTCTTCAGTCGTTTAAAATAATTGTCTCCCAAATCTTGCACAATATATAACTAGACTTGTTTATGTCATCCTATACCTGAAAGGACTGGCTAACATTCTCGACAAACCGGCGTTATTGCATTTTACACGTTTCATGCATGAGTTAACAACTCGTGAAGATCGCTCGCCTTTCAACATTCAAATAAATAGCAATTCATTCTCGGCCTGACCACCCTCGGATAGCGTTTGACACAAGATTAGTTTTCCAGTTGTCAATTTGGTCAGGACACGTAAAAAATGCCGATTCATGCTAATTCGACGAGGACACGCGCCAATCTTTCTGAACAGTAAAATAAAAAAATGTCATTTACAACTTTACATATATCACGAATTCGCAAGCAATTCTAAAGTTTGGAACTGGCAAGCAAACCTCCCCGTGGATTTCAATAAGAATCGGCTGGTGACTACGGCTCAAGCTATTCCTTGGAGTGAAAAGATTGTTTTAAACTTCTAAAAATATATCATAAACGAAAAAATAATATTCAAGTAAACTCATTGAGATCTTGTGGACACAGCGATCAATAGTTTCTGAAGTTTTGAAACCTGTCAGCGCTGTCAAATTTCGTCATTGCGTGCTTTTTCAGAATAGATATTTCAGTGTACCGCACACTTCGGTGTCACCTCTCCATTTCAAACGTTGACCGTAATTTATGGCTGATAACGAGATGAAAAGATATGTGACGTCCTGTGTAGCAGATTAAACATTGTATATTTACAATCATAAAATACCTGTCCGATTAATGATTAATTTACAACAGGTACACAGGTCGTATTATTAATGGTCCGTTTGTGATGTCTATTTACTTTGTATTGTGTCTATTACTGTAACGCCACACGATAACTATTGTTGTATCGTGAAAAACATAACGAACTACCATCGGTGGATAAAATGTCCGAGGCATGGTTTAGGCCGTACATCATTGGCAAGGTTTGTCCGTTCAATAATGAGACAGGTCATCAATAGAAGCACTCCAATGACAGACTAAATAAAAAGGACGTTATAACAGTCGATATAAACAGTTTCAATTCCCTAGCTATCATGACATGCACTCAACATTAACGCTTTGCTACCACGAGGTCAGTCCAGGTCTTTGTTAGGAGAGGATATTGGAATGACAAGCGGGGATTTTATTGTCTTCCTCCGTCGTTTGATGTGTGATAAGACAGATCAATAATACTCCTCGACAATGTTTCTAGCTGTATCCGACAGTGATTAGGTGGCCGGTATCGATAACATCCAATATTTGCTTTGCAGCAGTATAAACACTACGATGACCTGTTAAATGAAAATCAAGATCGAGAGTGCAGGAATTTCATAAAATACATCAACCGATTGGATACGGCTAAGATACGGGTTACATTAAGTCAGTGCTGTATAAGTTACTGTACAAGAGTAGACGTACCTGTACGGAAATTAATGTATATTAAGATAACGGTCACACTAAGTCAGTGCTGTATAAGTTACTGTACAAGAGTAGACGTACCTGTACGGAAATTAATGTATATTAAGATAACGGTCACATTAAGTCAGTGCTGTATAAGTTACTGTACACGAGTAGACGTACCTGTACGGAAATTAATGTATATTAAGATAACGGTCACATTAAGTCAGTGCTGTATAAGTTACTGTACACGAGTAGACGTACCTGTACGGAAATTAATGTATATTAAGATAACGGTCACATTAAGTCAGTGCTGTATAAGTTACTGTACACGAGTAGACGTACTTGTACGGAAATTAATGTATATTAAGATAACGGTCACATTAAGTCAGTGCTGTATAAGTTACTGTACACGAGTAGACGTACCTGTACGGAAATTAATGTATATTAAGATAACGGTCACACTAAGTCAGTGCTGTATAAGTTACTATACACGAGTAGACGTACCTGTACGGAAATTAATGTAAATTAAGATAACGGTCACATTAAGTCAGTGCTGTATAAGTTACTATACATGAGTAGACGAACCAGTACGGAAATGCATGGCAGCTTAATGTTGATTCATACCCACAGCAATGCAGATCTAGGCAACTAGAACATGCGAGACTTTTCTCAAGACATAATTTAGGACTTGAGCAAAACTACTTGAAATCCTCAAATACTTCAGTTCTTAAAGAAGTTGGTTTCTTATACAGACGTGGTAGAAATTTATATCATAATTGCTCGTGTGACTGATTGGTCATTCTTCTGTTTGGAACAAATGGAATATCAATCATATTGGCATGAATGCCATGACATTCATGTTGTTACAAGATATATATCGAGGGCCAGTTACTTTAATTCGGAAGTCAGTGGTGGGCTTAAAATAATTTATTTGAACATTATCATCTCCAAGCCTCTTCTACACGTGCTGTATTCATTTTGGGAAAAGCTTGAGAGCCCTATTACTCAATACTGTTACCGTAGATATTACTCAAATCATACCTGCTCCCTCATGGGCCGACACACAGGAGCTGTGCTGCTCCACAACAAGGTTGGTTTTTGATATAGTGACGTAGACGAAGCAAAATCCCACTGCTGTGTAATCCATTGGAAATAAATTGCACTTAAAAACGACATACGTCTTATCGGGGTGTGCGTGTCTCTCTGTGACGTAAACCCTCTTTAAAGGGGCTGCTAGTGACCCGGATATGTCACGACGTAAAACGTACATCCGGATTTTATCGTGTGATCCCGCGCACTGCGGGTGTTCATACAACACCGCAAGATGACCCTGGCACGGGTGAACACTAGACGAGGATATCCGAACGTCATATACGTCACTCCACTTGACGTCCATCACGTTGCTCCTAGCAACCGTCTCGTTTTTGTTGTAGCTGTTGCGTAAGAATGCTCTGTAGCTGCCTTTGAAGTCAAATTTATCACAAGTATATGATATATTTGTTATTGCCCGGGAAATATCGAGTACAGGTTCCGAATGAAGCACTGTTGGCTTCGTATTGTAATAAGATGGATCGAATTGGCTTACAGATCTATATTCCAAATCTATCTGAAACGAATACTGCTGCAACAGCGGACCACACCTAGCTTCCGATGTGTAATGAAGTTTCACTTCTGTGGTCTGAGCTAAATGTCTTTTAGGAAGGTATAAATGAAATTCTGGCCATCTCACGGTGAATTCTTTGGATGTTAATAACGGACCGTCTAGATACATATACATTTCCAAAAGATGGCGACCGGCAACTTCTATTAATCCGCACGTGACACGTCCACTTCCGGTCGACTGGCCTACGGTGAGCTTGATGGTAGTGATTTCCCGTCGTCCTCTGCCGGTATAGGCTAGTACCCGTATGAAGGCATTGGGCATGGACACATTGATGGGGACGCTGTACGTTATAGCGAGATCCCCCATGAAGGCGACATATTTCTCGGGAACGGATATCCGGTACTGGGACCCTGGAAATACAACAAAAAAAAAGTTCATTGGCCAAATTATCGTCTTTGTTTTCACATCATCGTTTACATACAGAAAGCAAACATGTAGATGGCGTTATAGGGTCCTGATTAAATGACAAGTGTCGTCGATAATTCTTAACGGTCATTCACCAGGGGCTCTGTACCAATTTTAAAACACATGAAAGAAGTACAAGAAAGAAAATATCGTCAAAATCCAAATGTTTCAATATCAATACACACTGAAGAAACTTTGATTAAGAAATTTTTATAGATCAATGATTACAGTATCCTTAATATGATTGATGCTGTGAAAAATGTTTATTTCAGCAGTCAACACCTGACAAAAGAAGTGTGTACCAGTCTGTGTCCCTTTGATATTAAGAAATTACCTAGGTATCGTGTGATTTATAAATTCAGTCAATTGACCTATTTTCGTTAAAACATCAGTCCTAGAGTTCAACAGAACAGAAGTCGTGGTTCTAGAATTTATCGTCGCCGAAACATCTGCCTCATATCATTATCAAAGAATAATATTTTTGCGGAGTGAAAGTGTTAATACCACATATGTACAGTACATGTAGGCTAATGAAGAACAAATTTTATGACGTCAGATCAGACAAGAATATACGTGTATTTGGAAATGTTCAAAAGAGTCCAGTTGCTTTGTACAATAACAAGCGAATAAAAAAATCCCAAATGATCAATTATATGATATAATATTTACCACACAATAGATTCGAATATTAAGGCTCCTCGTTTCAATTATAGACATGCTGTATAGAAGATAAGTTTGTAATTATAGATCTTAATGAGTATAAAGTTCCGAGGTATACGTCAGTATCTATATGCACGTGCTTCCTGACAGAATAGCTTTTGGCTTTAGCAGTGGACATGACACCTACATTACTACTTTTTAGGGTTTTTGTGTAAAGATAACCCACCAAAATAATATCTCTGTTTCTTTTTTGGTGCTTGTATCAGTTAAATTTCTGTTTTGCCTGTTCAAACTGGAATTAGTTCTTACTTCAAATTGTTGCGTGTACATGGGCCATAATAAAAATATGAAAAGAAAATTCCTTGAGATGATGAGTGTATCTTAGGTAAAAATACAACGGAACATATTTTAAGGATTATTAGTTTTGTAAAAAGTTTGCGCTTTATTCGTCCTCAGAAAATCTGAAACATAAAGTACCGGACAATAAACTATATAATGATAATAGTGTTGTATTAATCGACTAAAAGATGCGTAATTTCCCTGGTAATTAGAGATTAAATAATTGGAAAATCCAAAATATCGAAAATATTTCCACAGTACACGTACAAATGTTATGTTGACTGCTTAAAGGTCTGTAGATATGTAACATCACATTATAAAAGTTCTTTTCAGAGACATGTATGACAAAATCCTAACGACACGTTTATCCGATTTAAGATGTTCGGAATAAAGTCATCCAGATTGCATTCATATTGACAATAAATGCAATCTGACAGACGTTCAATGGTTAAGTATGACAAAATCCTAACGATACGTTTATCCGGATTTAAGACGTTCGGAATAAAGAAGTCCATTATTTAAGGTATACGATGGACCTGCTTTATTTACGGATACTGTGTGTCTGTGTACCTGATTCTTCTGTCACTTCCTTCAATATTTCACTCTATAACCTGTTACGTCGATAGGTCAGGGATGTGATTTAAATAATGACCATATCTTTAGTGTAAATATGCTTAGCGTATTAAACCAACAACAGAATGACAAACAATGGTCGTTTCCTGAACTTGTAACAAATTGAGTAAACAGTGATTATCATTAATTGACTTTTATTGCTATTACGTAAACTATTTAGACAAACTCGCCGCTGCCGACGTTGCCCGGGAAGGCGTGAGGGCATTAAGTACTCCTTCAGGACATCGATTTATGGTTTATGAGCCAAGAACTACAGACCAAAACTAATAGTTTTGTAATTTTTACCCTAAGTGATGCCATTTCCTCGCAGTTTCATGAGAAATGCAATAAGATGCAGATCATATACATCACTTTAAAGTTTTGTATTACGTTCTGAGCTGCTCTGTAAAGAGGAAACATGGCATTCAAATACCGTAATGATAATGCCACTAATTCTTGAACTTTTAAGCTTTAGATCGAAAAGTATCGACGTGTATGAATTTAAATGGTTGTAGTACCATATATGGACGGTTCAAAGAGGACTCGAGTGATTAACCGACACGGACCAATTAGTAGAAACTGAACGGCAGCTAGCAAGACTGGGGTATTAGAAACATTTCCCAACTATTTAAGATAGATCATTAGGTCAGTTTCCTTTTCTACTTTAACATATATATAATTCGTGGACCACAAACTTTATTAGAATCCCGACCTAGTTTCACCATTTGCCTTCGCGAACTCATGACATTACATACGTCGTTTACATAAGTCGCGCGCTTTTAGAGCCTAAATCTGGTGCAAGAGTGCTGTCGCATCTCGTGTCCATGAGAAAGTCATGCTACATGCCTTTTTGTATTTACAGCGAAATACGTCACTGCTCGGAGGAGGAAAAGAGACCAGAACCATTATTAAAGTCTATATGTGTTTTTTTTTTTCTTTTGCTTTTGTTTTCTATTCCGAATAAGACTTATTCAGATGCAAATCTTTTTCCCTTTTAGAATGCAATGACCGGATGTGAACTCGTTTGTGTTGATGACCTGTATCATCCATTGGCTGTGCTAAATGTGAACGTTATTAAATCCATCAACTGACTCCTATTAACTGTCCGCGAATTAATTTATCCTTCAACATCTTTGATGTCTTGGAAACTCGTTATACATTGTAACCTGACGTCACTGTCCGTTGGTAATAACACTTAACTGAGGGATTCGTCCATCGGTATCTCCTTGAAACATGATTATCTTAGACATCTGATACATATTATACAGTGACAATGAGATGTATAGACCGGAAATAACGGACGCTCTGATCAAAAACCATCGCAAAATTCAGAAGGCACAAGCGATCATTATTATTTTAAATTCTCGTAAACATGTGCTACAACCGTGCAAACAATTTAGAAAAAAACACGTCTTTAGCTTTACATCTATCTATTACCTATTTAATCTGGACTAAAGGTATCCAAGTCATTCATGCGTGAAACTATTATTATCATTTCGCAAATTATTTATATTTGTTAGAACGGATATTGATTTTTTTTCTTCTTTGAAGTTGAAACACGACACATACCAGAATTAATTTGTCACGGGTTATCTTATTATAACAAGGTAAAGAAGATTACTAACGTTCTACATGAACACCTGTCTGTCATTATCAACTGAAACCTTTGATCCAGTATTTATAACATTTGTCACTATGTTTGATAAACCGGAAGTGTCGCCATTTTAAATTCAGAGTGAGGTTATAAATGATCAAGGGATTCGTGATTTCCAAGCGAGATATATGATTTTAGATCTACATAACTTTCAAATTTGTAAACAAGACTGTGAATAAAATGCAAGTTTTGATTTATGATCTGAAGACAAACTGTAGTTGAGCACAAATAGATCAACCGGAAGTGACAGTCAAAGACCCCGTATCTTCCCGACCTCCGTCATTGAGGGGTGTGACCCTGTCAAACTATAACGAGCGAAGGAGTTTTACACGACTGACGTATCAAAGGCAAGCTCGAAGTACCCGAGCTTATCTTAATACTGAATACCTTTAGATGGGGTATGAACGATTGCACACGAATACTCCAAATCATTTGGATCGTTTCATCCTGCGCTCCTCGTGGGATAAGATCACTCACTGTACATTCAATACCTTTTTCAGCTCAGATACAATAGATCTCTTACAGAGCGTTTAAATAGATAGCATAATAATCTTTTTATTACACTGAAAGATAAACATGAATTTTAAAATATTTGCTTACTTTTAAGTCGTATATAACTATGAGTATTTTTTAAATTTATGTCCAATGCGAGTAGTGTTGTATATAAATACATAGACCCGGGAGAAGTAATAATTGGGTCTAGGTAAACATTAGATGGCATGTCGTATATAGCACCATTAACTATTGATTAAAAGTGTCGGATACTTGTCACAAGAGTTAACACATGTATCTATTGTCGTTCTCGGGACTCCTCCTTCCGTCCCCTCCCCGTCTACTCCCCGTCTACTCCCGTCCCCTCTCCCCGACACCACCTGTGACTTTTCATAATCTAAAACATTTATGTCAAACAAAACTGTATTTATTCTTATTATCCATGGCAGGTACATGAATGGCAGTATGCATCATACATTACAATTTTACAAAAAACGTACATTTGGAGTGTCAATCGTATTTTAAATACCCCGAAAATATAACATATTTGCAATTCATCTTGATATTGAACTTTTAGTATCTACAGTGAGCTGTCTTCTCACCAAGGTACAACAGCACAAGTACACCTATAGTATGCTGTCTTCTCACCAAGGTTCAACAGCACAAGTACACCTATAGTATGCTGTCTTCTCACCAAGGTACAACAGCACAGGTACACCTATAGTATGCTGTCTTCTCACCAAGGTTCAACAGCACAAGTACACCTATAGTATGCTGTCTTCTCACCAAGGTACAACAGCACAAGTACACCTCTAGTATGCTGTCTTCTCACCAAGGTACAACAGCACAAGTACACCTCTAGTATGCTGTCTTCTCACCAAGGTACAACAGCACAAGTACACCTCTAGTATGCTGTCTTCTCATCAAGATACAGCTGCAGTATGTGATCTTGTCACCAAGGTGAAACAGCACACTTAGATCACAGTATGCTCTGTCTTTCAGCCGTAGAGGGGGCAGCACCGCATGCAACATGTATGGTGACACTATTGTTTTACATAAATCAACTTCCTATTCAACAAAGTAAAATCATTTTGTCTGTATGTAACTATGTAATGTTTATTCCTACAAATACCTACCCCCTTACCCCTAACCCCCCCCCCCCCACACACACACACAAACACACACGAG